GGAAAAGACGTCCATCAGCTAATCATCACATGATGCAAAGTTCTGTGAATCATGTGAAAGAGAGGCAGATGAACTATTACAACAGAACAGCAAAACCATTGAGTCCACTGGCTCAAGAAGACGTGGTACGGGTGAGATGTGATGGACAGTGGGGACCGTTGGCCAAAGTGACAAAAGAGACTATGCCCAGGTCTTATGAAGTGTTGACAGAACATGGAAAGTTAATGAGGCGGAACAGAAGACACCTGCTGAAAGTGCTTCAGAGAGCCATAAGAAGCAAAGAAAGTGACTTTCAGGATGTGGAAATCTCAAAGCAAAAAGAACAATCAGAATTGCAAGACAAGTTAACAGAGACTGACAGAAAGAATGATGTTGAGAGACTGACAGAACGTCCAAAGAGGCAAATACAAAAACCAAAAAGGCTAATAGAAGAAATGTAAATTGTTCATATATATGTATAAAAGTTATAGTTTTCAAGTAAAAAAAAAAAAAAAAAGAGAAGATGTATTGATAGGTGTTTTGAAGACCTATCATTAGAGGCCACTAGATGGCAGTACGAGGCCAAGGTAAGCCCAGTTGAGTTATATGAGAAGAATAAAGCATTCTGACAAAAGTACTCGGTGTGTGAGCCTCGTCAATACAGATCTTGCCTCTCTGACAGGTCATTCAGGGTGTCTTGGAGGGGAGAGGTGTCCAACCTACAGCATCTAAACACTGGGGTACCACAGGGCTCTGTTCTTGGGCCACTTCTCTTCTCCATCTACACATCATCTCTAGGACCAGTCATCCAGAGACATGGATTCTCCTACCACTGCTATGCTGATGATACCCAGCTATACCTCTCTTTTCATCCTGATGATCCCTCGGTTCCAGCTCGTATCTCAGCCTGCCTGTTGGATATTTCACACTGGATGAAAGATCATCATCTTCAGCTGAACCTCGCAAAAACGGAAATGCTTGTAGTTTCTGCCAACCCGACTCTACACCATAACTTTTCAATCCAGATGGATGGGGCAACCATTACTGCATCCAAAATGGTGAAAAGCCTTGGAGTAACAATTGATGACCAACTAAACTTCTCTGACCACATTTCTAGAACTGCTTGATCGTGCAGATTCACACTCTATAACATCAGAAAGATCCGACCCTTCTTATCTGAACATGCAGCTCAACTCCTTATTAAAGCTCTTGTTCTCTCCAGACTGGACTATTGCAACTCTCTACTAGCCGGGCTCCCAGCTAACTCTATCAAGCCTCTTCAACTGCATATTTACGCTATAATTTAACTCATGCAACAGCACCTTGGACAGCTACAGTGCCACTAAAGCTTTCAAACACAACCCCAATAAAGTAATGAAAGATTAGACTTTCTCCGGTGACGGCCGACATCTCAACACACCGTAACCGTCCTTCGGGTGGTAAAGCCGGCATTAAATCACAAAACAAGACGTCTGGCTTGACTGAAGTGCAGTTATTTTCTCGTTGTTCAAAGAGTCTTCAAGTTTGTGTTTCATGGATATATGTAGCTACAGGATTGTGAACATCAATAGCGTGTCTTAATTCGATGCACAGCAGAAAAAAGTCTTTCAGCGGTGCATGTAGCTGTTGGTTAAGTTCTCTCGGAGTCCTCAGTGGAGAACCAACTGTAACCATACCCAAGTGTTCTCAGAACGATTTGGCACGATAGTGGAAAAGCAGGCAGCTGTAGTGTATACTGTTTAATAATCAATTTCAAATTATGTCACAAATAAATAAATAAATAAATAAAAAGCGCCATTAATTCCCGCCCTCTCATGGCAGGTAGAGCGTACAGCTGTGGCTGCAGGCACCACTGGCTTGAACCACGGGTAGTCGAGTAACTCGAGTATTGTTTTGAAAAGTCAATTAGCAAAAACCAGTAGTTGTGCAAGCGTTAACCAACGCACATTCTCACGTTCATTTCATCATTAGTAAATTCAAACATGAGCGTGAAACCTAGCGTATGCTAAGTTTTTGGGCCCTATCATACACCCGGCGCAGTGTGGCGCATGTCAAGGCGCGGCGCAATAGTCTTTTGCTAGTTTCAGCTTGGCACTAGAGTGGTAAATAGCAAATGCATTAGCGCTCATTTTTGCGCTCATAGGCGTTCTGGTTTAAAAAGGAAGGCGTTCTGAGGCGGGCCGCTGGCGCGTCGCTATTTTGAGAAACTATAATAGATTTTTCATTAGACCAAAACTAACCCGGTCTAAACTCCAGCGCAGAGTTGCGCCTCGCTTACACACTGCTTAATACACACAAGAGAGCAATAGGCAAATATCTTTACATATGAAAAAATGTAAATATTAAGGATATATATAGGATATAATAGAATAGATATAGGATATAAATATAAAGGATTAAAATATTACAAAACATATTATTTTCTAGCCTACATAAATATGAAAAATCACTGCTTTCATGTCTTCTTCATCTCGGGAGGCTTTTTCAGTTCATTCATAACAATTTGCTTTTGTATAATGTTATTATTATTAGCAGTATTATTTATTATATCCATATTTATATTTGTTTTATTAAAAACAAGCTTAGATTTGCCCACCTGTCAGGTTTTAGACCATATGGGGCACAGCATGTGTATTAGGATATAACTCAGGTTTTTAAGCACACTTCATTATTATTGTTCATTTATTCGTTTGCTGGAAATCAGAACTGAATTTAGAAATAGTTTTTACACAAATCTTTGCACTTAACAAACAAAATTAATTATTTATAGACTAATTGATGTCTGAGCATAAAGGTTTCCCTATCCAAGAGCAAAAGTGAAAGTAGATCCATTATCTCTCATTCTCATGCAGTAGATGCTCTGTTTAACAGTTTTCTGTTAACTGTGAACTGTTTGCTTGTGAAATGCTCAGTTTTTCCACTTACACTTACTTTGCGTCCTGTAAATAGCGAATGAGCTCTTGGCGTGACGCAGCTGGCTCTTAAAGGGAATGGGAGATGAGACTCTGATTGGTTTATTCTTAAAACACACCTATAATTCATTAAGAAAATAAACTCAACCCTTTTAGACCATGCACCGCGGCGCAAGGCAGATTTCCCGTCCTTAAATTAGCAAAAACGCGTCCTGACACGCCCTGAAAGTGTCTGCGCCCTGCGTTTTGCGCTCTGCGCATGGACCCTCAAAATAGAGCCCTATGTGTGTATGCAGCATTGATACACGAGGCCCCTGGTGTTTAGGAGACCGAGCTTTAAATAATGTCTGTTTCACTTCAACTTTTCACTCTTAATAGATGTTTTCTGGAGCACACAGTATCTGGAACAGACACAGTCTTTACGGCAGGGGTTTTCAAACTGTGGGGCGTGGCCCACCGGGGGAGCGCCAGCACCAATTAAGGGGCGCGAGACATTGAGGCGTGCACTCGAGTAAAGAATTATGATGACAGTTCTTATGCGTTCACTAGAGGGAATAGTATGATTAATGTCAGCTCCTCAGCTAACTCTCAGGCACCTGTAGAGTAGAGTTTATGCATTCCAGTGAAATATACACAAATAAAATGGAGCGGGTGCTTTTTAAAATGAATGACGGTGAATGAAAGTTAAACCAATGAGCATCTGATAGAACACTGCCTGTACAAAAGATTGTTTAATTATTTTGTTTTCTAACTGTACATTTAGTCTTTACCTGTTTTGTTATTATGTGGGCGTGGTTAAAAGGTCCGCTCGCGAGTTCAATGAATAAAGTGAAAGTGTTCGACACAGTAATGAAAGAGGAACAGAGAGAAAGGCAGGTGCGCATCGTGATGCTCAGTCGCCAGTTTAGAGAGTTAAAGCCAACAAACTGTTAGGATTGCAATCACAGCATCCTCAGAGAAGGCAGTTTGACTGAATCCTATCAGATGACAGGAAGATGTGGTGTGATTACTTCAGAGTTTGACAGAACTTTATGATGTGCGTCATTGAAGAAACGTGAGTGTTCATAGTTCATTGTTAAAACTTTAATTATCATTCGATGTATATATACATGCATCTATATGCATATTTATAGTTTGCAACTGTATCAGAACGACACGTTTATTATATTATGTGTTCGTGATCTTTCACGTGTTTATTCACGTGTAGTAATAATGACGCAGCATTTTTCCGTGAGTAGTTTGAGGACTAATTAAACCTTTTTTTTCTTTATTATAGAACCACACACATACATACACAATCACCCGCTACTGCATGAACATTTACAGCAACATTTAACTTAATCTGATCACTTGCTTTTACACAATCACTCATTATACATTATACATTCATTGCAAATGAAGATAAGATCCCGGCAATGTTGCACACTGGCTGATGACATCACTACTATTGATCGACTGCTGAAGTGATCGCTGGACCTTCTGTTTATGAGGTGGATTTTTCTGTGAAACTATTGGGACTTATTTCACCATATTACAAGTGATCGCTGGACCCTTCTGTTTATAAGTCCTCTGAAACTATTGGGATTTATTTCCCCACTATATTACAACCTTCCAGTACTGTAATTATTGTCATCTTATATGATAATTGTTTTCATTTACGTGGGCCTATGCTATTTTATTTGATTTGTATTGTGATGATTATGTTTACACATTAATCATAAAGAAATTGATACAATGTTTGAACATAATAATTTGTGTCTGACCTCTTTACTCTTCCCCTATTCTTTGGACATCAATTGGATAATATATCCTTTAAGGTGATATAGAACCGTATAGTAATCAGTGCTTTCATACAGGCTTCAATACACTGCCCTTCTGAATCACATCAGCAGGATGCCCTTCTGGATCTTTCACTTACTTTGAAGAAAGATCCAGATCAGCTAATCAGAATCAAGCATTTACCAGCCATCTAATGTCAACATGACTGAATTAAATATGTGGACATAAGGGGTGATGTTTGATGTGTTTAACTCTGACTGCAGATCTGCTGAAAATAAAGTGTGTTCAGTGTGTGTTACTGACTGAATGTCAATCTGTGTGTGTTTACAGTCTGGATCATGGAGGAGAGAAGAGGATTACAGCAGGACTGCACAAATGTAGGTCTACACACGCGCACACACACACACAGCTGTAGTGAGTGTTGTTGTGTTGTAAATGTGTGTGTTCTTGTGTTCAGATGCTCGTTTCCTCACTCTGGATCCAAACACAGCACACCCTCAACTCAAACTGTCTGAGGAGAACAGAGAGCTGACATGTGTGGAAGAGATTCAGCCGTATCCTGATCATCCAGACAGATTTGATCATCATCCTCAGGTGTTGAGCAGAGAGAGTGTGTGTGGACGCTGTTACTGGGAGATTGACTGCAGTGGAGATAGTATGGATATAGCAGTGGCATATAAGAGCATCAGGAGGAAGGGACGAGGTAAAGAGTGTTGGTTTGGAAATAATGCTCAGTCCTGGAGTCTAGTCTTCCTGAAGGGTTTGGGATTCTTATTCAGACACAATCACACACAGACTGATCTCCCAGTGGAGCAGATCAGCAGGAGAATAGGAGTGTTTGTGGATCACAGTGCAGGAACTCTGATCTTCTACAACATCAGTGAAGACACAACCATCCTCATCCACTCAGTCCAGACCACATTCTCTGAGCCGCTCTATCCTGGGTTCTGGGCTGAGTCTGGATCATCAGTCAAACTGTGCTGAAGACTGATGAGAGATTTACCCAGAATCCTCTGCAGGATCAGTCAGCAGCAGTGAGATGATCTGGGCTGTTTCTCATTATGCGTTCTTGTCTGTACTTGCGTTTTTGTGTCCTCCTGAAACGTCATCAACCGTCGCCAAAATACTGTTCTAATTTAAAGTTCACATCTTGCTAAATATAGATGAAATTCCCGCATGTGTACTTGCTCCGCCCCTTTGGCTATAGATGCATCGAGAGGTGACCTTGCGAAGCTTGGGTTCCCAGAATGCATTGCAGCGTAACCAGCAAACACTAATAGTGGAGGAGGAAACCCGCACAGTTTTAAAAATACTCCTTTACTGTGTCACAAAATAAAGTTTTAACAGTTTTTCACTCAAATCGGCAGTTTATTCACAAAGATAGCGCGTCTTTGGCAATGTGGCTCAGCTTATGCGGACTCCGACTCCCAGCCTGCCAGCGGGAGCTCCGTCATCAGCTCCCCTGCCATAGCAGCTTTACTCCGGCCAGGCCATCTCGAATGTACTGCTGGATCTCATCACTCCATTGTAGTTTAAACATGATATTTAATTCATCTTGTGAATATCTAACGGACAGTATTTGGTCTTATGAATCTATTATTTGTTCTCAAATGTATTATTTTGGCAGTATTATTTTGTTACGTTTAATAATTGTCTTTAATTATGTTACCGTGTTGTATGCTGTTTGTCTTTGTTTACCAAATTGTTTGACGTAATCTTTATTTCTTACCGTGTATATACTTCTATAATTACCATTGCAGTTTCTTAAATCTAATAATCAAAGACACATGTCCGTGTATAATAACTCAGTTTATTTCACATTTATATGAACATATATATTTTCTTAAATCAAAAATGTAGATATATAATATTAATATAATATTAATTACAGGGTCGTGCTTTAGGTAATTCAGTCATTTTATTGTTAATGTAGAGTGAAACTGATGAATCCATGGTGAGGTAAGTGATGTTATAAAGTACACTGCTGTTCCATTTGAAGAAGTACCGACTTGCATCCCCGGGAGTTGGTTTTTCCAAGTCTTAACTTTGAGAGTATTGAGAAACAGCCCTGGAGTCTCTTCACTCCCACTGTAAGCTGCTTTGTTCAGTTGATCAGTAATGAGATGAGCTGGATCTGATGTCTGATATAAACTGTAGGAGTTTGTCTCTGCTTGTCCTGGTGTCTGGCTGTCAATAATATCAGACTTTCATGTTACTTTCATAAATATGTTACCATATACTGTTTAATATTAGTACTTTTTTAAAAAAAAGATTCAAACACTTACGTTTAATGTAATTATTAATTACTATCAATTATACACCGCCTTATAATGCTTTAGTATTTTCAGTAATGTTCATGTGTATTTCTGCTGTAATCTTCCATCTATAGTGTTAAAGAAGCTGAATACTGTGCTCTGCAGTTAATCCATCATCACTGTGGTCATCTGAGTAATTCTGCTTCATCTGAGCATTATTGTTTTACTGTATTGATGTGAAATTAGCTGTATGTGTTCCTCCATCTTCATCCGTCTTGCTGTGTTTTCTGATCATCAGATAAGCAGATCAGCTCTGTAGTGAAGTGAGGAGGTGTTCAGTCTGTCAGCTGAAGTCCAGCTCTTCCTGCCCCATGAGCAGTTTATAAGAGTCATTCATGTGTGTTGGATCAGATCAGTCGACTGTTCAATGTGTAAACGTATAGTCCAGACTGAGTTTATCTACTAAATGTGACTAATAGTGTGTCATTTCCCCAGTTCTAGTGGAGCTCTACCAGCTCTGTGCCTCTGATTCTTCAATATGAGAGAATCATTCAGTCTGTCAGAGCTTCAGCCTCCACTAAACCACCATTGATTTATTTTACTCCTGATTATCAGTGAGTTATTCTGTTATTATCTGCTTTATTTGTAGCTGTGAAAGAGAAACTGATTAACAATAAAGCTCTGCTGAATATTCACATTACTCTGTGTTTGATTCTTCAGCTGGAGTCAGGGGTTATTGCTGCGGATGTGAAGAGAAGAGTTTACACATGTCATGTTTAGTCAGTAAAACACTTCAGCACAGGGTCCAGCGGTGTTTCCTCCATCATGATCATCATCTCCATCCTCACAGAGCAATTAGAGCACTGAGTTCTCCTACAAGATGGCTGAGCTCCATGTGTTTCTGGGTCAGAGGATGGAGGAGCAGGGAGAGGTGTGCACTGGGGCCTGTGAGTGAGGTGTCTGTGGAGACTGCCTGACACCACTGACGTCTGCACTGTTCTTTCTTACTGATGAAGTAGAACATTCTACTAAATATCTCCCTTCTTACAGTTATTTTCCTTGATTTGATATGTAAGAAAGCTGTGCATTTTCTACACTGATCTCACTGGTAACAGCACTAGTCCTACATGTTAGACTGATGTCCAGGTAAACTGATAAAGGTGGAGTGATTTACATACACCAGAGAAACAGTGTTCACTGTAGTCATCTGTGTTTCTGCACTCCTGCAGCGGTGTCCAACTCATCAGACCAGTGGGAAATCTCTACACACTGTTATGGAGTTCCTCGAGGCAAGACCAGGAGAATGGTCAGACACTCAAACAATCAGCTGTCTAATCTGAGGAGGAGATCAGCGAGGAAACCAACAAGAAGACGACACTAGAGGCTGGTGTCTTGCGTCTGTTGATGTTGTCTAAGCGCGTGGCGGGGTGTTTACATCGTGGCCGTGTTGTTCTTCAGAATATTGAAAGCCCCAAACTGAGTGAGTGAGAGAATGAGAATATTGTGAAGGGTTCAGTATTGAAGAGCTCTGGAGACACACTCTGATCAGATAATCAACTGCAAGAGTCTTCACATGCTCTCAGTCGAGTTCTGGAGGACACACAGTCATGAGGAAGACCTGCGCTGATCCCACAGACCACCAGAGACACCTTGCACAAGGAGTTACGACACAAAAGGTGATCGCAGAAGAAAGCCCTCGTCTGATTTGACCATGTTTTCAGATTTGACCGCATTCTCCCCCTGTTGTTCACTTTATTTTGTGGATTCTGTTTTTGTCTTTGCTGATTTCTGGAACCGCTCTTCCCCAGACTCAAACCCGGATCATTGTCGTCGTCATGGTCAGCTCCTCTCTGCATCTCAAGTCCGCCGACGTACACGACAAGCTAACTGGACAAACTGGTTGCAGTGGGAAAGCCCTCCACACGGAGGTAAGCGGTCAGCAGGTAAACACCAAAGGAACACCGTCATACCGCCCCGTAGAGTTCGATTAAAAACTGAAATGCAGCCATACGTACCTCCGGCTACATGATTCTCGGTCTCCAGAAACGTCAGCGAGACTACGTTTTCAGAATGAGCCTGTGTTGGTCTAAACGCCACTCAGACAAATCTGGAAAGATTCTTCAACAGGAGAACATTCAGTCACACACACTATAGCATCTGTCCCAATGAGCAAGAGCAGCATTACTGAAGACCAGTCAGACATTAATCCAACCTTTAATCATGTATTACTCTACCATATATTCATCTGATTATAATCTCCTCTGACCGAGATTCCTCCTTTAATCTTAGCTAATGATCAGACTGAAGTAGAGGAGTCCATCAGCTGAGCAGAACTTGATGAAGCTCCTGAACACGATGCTTCATGACACTTCAACACATGTAAATACAGACTAATGCTCCTGTTTCTGACTGATCTGAGGAATCAATGTCTTTCAGTCGTCTCCCACAATCTGTCCATAAATACATTAGACCAAAAGTAGAGAAGCACCTTCTGAACTGTGATCATTCAGACTAATGCATTTATTAAATGTAGAAAACACGTAGTCTTGAAGATTAGAGAATATCTTTCCCACCATCATATCATCTTTATGTTTAATGTGTAAATAAGAGAACACTGTCATGTTCGTGTCTTATAATACTGACGCCCAGTTGGAACAAGTGTCTTCTTGATTTACAAGTTCAGTCTGCCTGAAGTTCAGTCTGTCTCGTCTCACATAAACCCTTATAAACCTCTGGTGCCATCTAGTGTTCACACACGTCATAACACCATCACAACAAACACAATAAATAGCTGTTGATGATAAAGAAGCGTTTGGAGAACTAATAATACTGAACACTTTCTGTTTCAGATGAGGACTGAGGTAAAACTCTGATTCTAAAGGGGAGTAGGCAGATACACTGGCTTTGGTGAAAGACGCATGTGAACGGCAGTCGGATACTTTGGTCAGCCATTAAACACCACCTCACCGTCATTACAGCACAATGAAAACTAGTAAAAGAGTGCGGGCGCCGTTCCTCATCCAGAAGTGGACAGCATTTACCATACCTTCTCATCTGCTGTCTTAAAGTCCTTCTCACTCTCTGGGGGAGGATGAAGAGCGAGGGCTGAGTGGACAGTGGAGAGTAGAGGACAGGGCACATTAAGATTCTTGATTTTGAGCTGGAAATTGGATGGAGAGCAAAGACCAAACACAGCAAGTTCCTGAACTTTCCCTCTGGAACATGCTGCAGACGCTGGAGATGCGTGAAGAGTTGTAGTGTTTGGAAAGCTCTGAAATGTCATGCCTGTGACCCAGATTCATTTGTACCTGAAGGAAGTGGACACCTTATTCCCACTCAATAGAAAATAAATGAATGAACTGATGTGTTAATAAGGAAACAGATCATCTAGCACAGGCAATTTAAGGAAAAGCTCATGCATTTACAAAAAAACCCAGCAAATAAAGAGACGATCTTCATCAGTTTGACAACACACATGCTGCAAATCTCTCACAACACAAACAACTGAAGAAACACACAGCAAACCGGTCACAACCCACATAGCAACATTTCTCTGGCCCAGCTCTGGCCCACACAATCAGGTTTTGCTTGGCCCACATGCCGCAGTGAATTACGGTACATGACTGGACCAAATCTGGCTTCCAGACAAGAGCCAAACACAGACCATATCTGGGCCAAGTCTCAGCCAAGTTAATAACCCATAACTGGGCCTGAACTGGGCCAGATAGGTTGGTGTGTCACGATTGCAATGAAGTTGATAAACCCATGGAGTGATGCGCTTTAGGCACACTATGGGCACGCTTTTTCTCAAAGTGACCTGATTGGTAGAGTTTTTTTTCTTTACTCAAAAATGATTTTAGTGTGTTTTAAATGTGGGTCAAGACTGGCCAAACTCACATGGCCCACTTATCACATGTTTAAATCTGGGCCAAATACTACGTTTTTCATCTGGCCTTAAAGACGGTGCCACCTCTGCCAAACCCGGGCCATGTTTGGCCCACATGCTGTATGCCAGTGCCGGACGAATGCCTGCTGTGCCAGCTTTATGCCAAATCTGGGCCAGAATTCTTTGCTACTAGGGAACACTTGCAAATATCAAATAAACATAGAAATATTCTTATCATGTTCCCACATGTACATCTGCAAGCCCTCGAGGTGTGTTACTGATTTACCTCCATACGCTTCTGCTCTGAGAATTGTGTTGTGCTGCTGACCAGGGTTGCCAGATTGAGTTGACGGTTTCATGTCTGAAAACCCACCCAAGATTCATATGTGGATGAGTCTGATCAGATTTACTTATTTTAACCTCCACAATGAATGTCCTGTACTGTAGTTCACAACCAACACCAGCAGAGCTGAGAGAAAAACAAAGCCCTCCTCCTCCTGCTCCTCCTCCTCATCCTCCTCCTCATCCTCCTCCTCTATATTCATTGTTGTGTTGCAGTTCAGCATGTGATCGCTCCATCATACTGTATGACTTCAGGTTTTCTCCAACTCCTCTTTCCTTGTTAATTCCTCTCAGAGGCCATTTCCCTCGTGTTAGCCACACACGGCCTTGATTATACACGTTCAGCACACAGTTTAAGAATAAAAGTCTTCTTCAGTGTTGGACAGGGCTGTGCAGCAGTTTTCAGTGTCAGTTCCTCGCTTCACTGGCTCTCAGCTCATCTCTCTTAATAAGTCACTCTCTCTCCTCACCCTCACTCTGCTTGGAAAGGGGATCTCCTCATGTGTTTTCAGACCTTCAGCCTTTAAAACAAAAAGAGTCAAGATCATGACCTGAGTTTTGTGTCAGCTCATATCCAGCTGATTTGATATTCTGCAATTCAGGAAACAGACTGAACATGTTATAAGGAGATTGAAGACGATCTAAAATTCATTTAAACTTTAAGCTAACCAGCTAAACATTTATCAGTCTAACGTCTCCAACTTCATTTTCATTTTTAGGATAAATAACCCTTTAAAGAGACATTTCAGTGTGATGTTCCACAATTGTCATGTAGGAAAGAAAAGAGAATGAATCGACAGTAAAAGCATTACCAGTGATTTCACACGGTCGCCTGTACTATGACAGTAACTAATGATTGAATGTTCATTGATTTCCTTAGTTTCAGGCATAGTTAAACATTAGTGCTTTTCCTGCACACGTTCTCCTGCTGTATCTGTTTCTGTACTGATCAGCCATTCTCCTGATCTGAGTGTGTTTCAGTGAACCGCGCTGCTGAACTTGACTCTCTGACTCCAGGCTCCTCTTCTTTGTCATACAGCTCCTCCTCCGCATGAGCGCTACACAGCAGGTATTTCACTGCGGTCAAGCCAGCCACGTTTCGGAAAAACACAGTCAAGCCAGCCGCGCTTTATATTTCGGTGCGCGCGTATTATTATCATTACGGTAATGTCAGCAGCCACACAGAGAGCGCTCCACAGAGCACCCATTTCGCCCAGAACAGAGAGATAACAACGGAATATAAGTTTATCCCCCTTTCCACCCACGTATGCTTTATTAAACAATTTATTAGCTCTTTTTTGACAGTGTTATTTTAAGAATGGGTTTCTGGGCTTACCTGTAATTTTCTTTAAGTTTTTGCTTCAAATGATTTTATAGCAGATCAAACGGACAGAATAAATATACGATTTCTAAATACACAGAATGCGTTTCTACTTCTCCTAGCCAACTACAGTACATTACAAATAAGGTTAAATGCAATTTTATACAACGTGGCTAACCTCAGAAAGTGAAAACAATCATGAAGTAGTCCAACAAAACATTGTTTAAGTTACAAATATATGTTTATTTCATTTAAAGGGAATTTAAAAAGGTATGCTTCTTTCAGTATATGGGATATGGGGCATTATTACACTTTAGATGACTGTAAAGACCTTATTTGTTATAAGTAGAGTCAAATACTAAGCATACATCATATGAAGCCTGTTTTACTGCAGCATTTTGGAGAAATGTACCATTAACACACTTTAAAGAGCTATAAAGAAATAAGTAGAAAAAAACAAAGTTTGGTTCTGATACAGGATGTACATGCATACCTCATGTGAAAGACCTCATTTAAGTTAGCAGAAGAAAACAATGGACAGGACATCCAATATTATATGCATACCTCATAATAACTTACTGCAGCATATCTGTAAGGTGACATTACAACACGTTATCCTGGTCTTGTTTCTCTGTGTTTTAAACCTAGCCTTGTTTATTTAGTTTTCCTTGTCTGCCACCTGCCTTTCTGACCTCTTGCTTGTTAAATTGACTATGATTCTGGATTGTCCTCACACACCTGTTTGCTCCCGTATTGACCACTGCTTGCCTGACTGTGAATAAACCTGCATATTGGATCCTACCTTCTGTTGTGGTGTTACTTCCCAGCGTTACAGAAGGTAGGATCCAATGTGCAGGTTTATAACGCGTTGTAATGTCACCTTACAGATAAACAAGACTCGGCAAACTGGAGGGGTGAATGTGTGGCTTAAATAGTGTGTGTTAATCAGTCTCTGAAAATCCTCTGATGTGCAAATGTAATCAAAATAGATGAGTGAGCATGGGTGTCAGGGAGAAGTGCATGTATAAAAATGTAGTCCAGGAAAAGTGTAGTTCTAAGTGTGTGTGTTTACCAGCGACATCTGGTGGTTGTTCGCTGGTGAACATGACAACTTCACATGAAACCTTTTTACTACAGAATTTCGGAGAAACGGGGTAACATAATATAAAGTACTATAAAGACTGCATTTCAAATAAGTAGAAAAAAACAATGGTCAGTTCTTTTACAGGACATCCTGTACAATAAGTGTACTTCACATGAAACCTTTTTACTGCAGCATTTTGGAGAAATTGTATATTAATATAATTTAAAGTGTTACAAAGACCCCATTTCTAATAAGTAGAAAAAAACAATGGTCAAGATAATTGTTCTTTTCTACTTATTTGAAATGGGGTCTTTATAGTACTTTATATTATGTTAATACCCCATTTCTTTAAAATGCTGCAGTAAAAAGGTTTCATGTGAAGTACAAATATAGTATAGGATGTCCTGTATAAGAACTGACCATTGCTTTTTTCTACTTATTAGAAATAGGGTCTTCATAACACTTCAAATTATATTAATGTACAATTTCTATAAAACAAAGCAGTAAGAAGGTTTAACGTGAAGGACACATATAGTATGAAATGTCCTGTATAAGAACTGACCATTGTTTTTTTTTACCTATTTAAAATGCAGTCTTTATAGTACTTTATATAATGTTAATACCCTGTTTCTTTAAAATGCTGCAGTAAAAAGCTTTTATGTGAAGTACACACATAGATTAGGACGTCCTGTATAAGATCTGACCATTGTTTTTTCTACTTATTTGAAATGGGCTCTTTATAGCACTTTATAATGTGTTAATACCCTGTTCCTCCAAAACTCTGCAGTTAAAAGTTTTCTTGTGAAGTACAGATATAGTATGGTATGTCCTGTATAAGAACTGACCATTGTTTTTTCCTACTTATTGGAAATGTGATCTTTATAACGCTGAGTAATGTTAATACCCAATTTCTCCAAAACACTGCAGTAACAAGTCTTTATTTGAAGTTTAGAATGTGATGTACTGTATCAGACCTGACTATTGTTTTTTTCTACATATTTTAAATGAGCAATTTTTTTCTAAATTGCTGAAGTAAAAAGTACTCAGATGTAGTATATATGCATATAGCATGGGACATCCAGTATCAAACCAGATCAGTCTTTTATTTAACTTATGTCAAAGAATGTATTTATAGCACTTTAAAGACTTTATAGCTCATTAATAGCCCATTTCTCCAAAATGCTGCAGTAAGTTAATTTGAGGTATGCATATAATATTGGATGTCCTGTCCATTGTTTTCTTCTGTTAACTTAAATGAGGTCTTTCACATGAGGTATGCATGTACATCCTGTATCAGAACCGAACTTTGTTTTTTTTCTACTTATTTCTTTATAGCACTTTAAAGTGTGTTAATGGTACATTTCTCCAAAATGCTGCAGTAAAACAGGCTTCATATGATGTATGCTTAGTATTTGACTCTACTTATAACAAATAAGGTCTTTACAGTCATCTAAAGTGTAATAATGCCCCATATCCCATATACTGAAAGAAGCATACCTTTTTAAATCCCCTTTAAATGAAATAAACATATATTTGTAACTCAAACAATGTTTTGTTGGACTACTTTATGATTGTTTTCACTTTCTGAGGTTAGCCACGTTGTATAAAATTGCATTTATTTGCAATGTACTGTAGTTGGCTAGGAGAAGTAGAAATGCATTCTGGGTATTTAGAAATAGTATATTTATTCTGTCCGTTTGATCTGCTATAAAATCATTTGAAGCAAAAAAGATAAACTTGAGGAAATTACAGGTAAGCCCAGAAACCAATTTTTTTTAAATAACAACACTGTCAAAAAAAGAGCTAATAAATTGTTTAATAAAGCATACGTGGGTGGAAAGGGGGATAAACTTATATTCCGTTGTTATCTCTCTGTTCTGGGGGAAATGNGTGCTCTGTGGAGCGCTCTCTGTGTGGCTGCTGACATTACCGTAATGATAATAATACGCGCGCACCGAAATATAAAGCGCGGCTGGCTTGACTGTTTTTCCGAAACGTGGCTGGCTTGACCGCAGTCTTATTTCCCCTCAGGAAGAAGTTGGACGTTGTTTCGTTACGGAAGACTCCTGGCTGCTAAAGTAGAACTAATCTAATAGAGGTGAGTTAAGCTGTATATATATTTAGATGTGTGGTATTCTCAGATTTTAGGAGCGTCTCTAGTGTTTTGACACTGGATTACACATTTCAGCCCTCAGTAGCATGTGAGTAAATGTTTTACAGTCATATAAGCAGCTTAACATGTGCATCAGCTACCTAAAACAGACCTTTATAACAGCAGCTCATATTAGGAAAATCTGCTATTAATGCGTTTATTGCACAGTGAATAGCTGAAAAGCATCAGAGAAGAACGACTATTTCATTTTATAGTTGATTTAATAGGAAACGGTCTGTGTGTGTTAGATCAGTGGTTCTCAAACTGTGGTACGCGGAGGAGCCGCTGAATAATGAAAGAAACATTAACACTTAATCCTTTAATGCGTAATATAACATTGATGTGATCAGCATTGGCTGTTTTGTGAAGCGTACGATCACAGCGCTGTGCTTGGCTAAAACAGATATGCGAGCTCTTAAATAGGCTTTTTTCAGATGAACTGCAAGTGCTCTCATGATCGCCTGCGTGCTCAGATTGAATACAATCGTGATCTCTCCACTATTAAAGTAGACATTATTTATCTTTGCTCCTTGACTAAATTTAGTCAAAAGTATTCAAAGTTATCAAGTATTTAGAATTAGATTGATGCATGATCGATGGCAATGCTAATGGTCTTCTTATTTGGCTGTGTTTTGAAGTGAAACTTTTGTAAAACAAAAGAATTATGCTGGAAATGTTTCTGGATGAGGTATTTGTGTGATTTAGCTGTATTCTGATCTGTGTTAAAGCATTACAGGTCAAAGCAATCCGTTGTTACTTATTGTTTATTTATCAAAATTAACAAAAAGGCTCTTAAAGCACTGCTTTGATAAATGTATTGTTGTCATATTTCAAACACCTCAAGTAAAATAAAGTAATTTATTTTATTTTTTACTGACAGTGTATTGGTATTTTTTTAAGTTTCTATTTTAGATTAAGATCAAGTGTAAAACAAAATCTACATGTGATGTACAGCTATTTAAGAAAACAAATTTGCCATATTGTACAGAAAAACAGTGTAACAAATGTAAATTAAAGGCTAAATTTAAATCTTTTTACCATATACTTTAATTTAACCTTTCAAAGCTTGAAAATATTGTTTAAAAAATGGGCAAAAAGGGTCTCTATGGCCTTAAAGATTATTTGATTAAATATTATTATTAATGGTTTTTATTTGTATCTATTCCTCTGCAATGTTTTATGGGTTGCTGAGAATATATTTCAGGTCTTCAATACATAGCATGTCAGTCTTGAATAAAAAAATAGGTGCTGGAATTGATTTTCATTAGGCTGTGCCTGTATGAACCCTGTCATGTACATTTAACATATATTTCAAGATTTGTCTGAAAGTGTAGGAATATGACATATAGCCTATATTTATAAGGTCCAAGCAACATCTCCAGCTTTTGATGAATAGGCTACTATGAATACTTTAGATTTAAGTACAGCAGTTTTCTTTTTACTTTTTAAGAACAGCGCCATTTTTTAATGAACTTTTAAAAGCACATTTTAACCAAAACTTTTTTTTTATCTGCAAGCACAGTTAATGTTCAGACTATTGTTAATGTTCATGTTCAGATTATATATATTCTTAATAATAGGAATTATTTGCATCATTTTTAAACTGTGCACACCTGTAGCTGCTTAATTAGGCCTACGACGCTATTTTTTAATACTGGTTAAAAATAAGCGTCGTAAGGTGGTACTTGGAGAGACGATTTTTTTCTAAGGTGGTACTTGGTGAAAAAAGTTTGAGAACCACTGCGTTAGAGGAAATTCATTCTTGTTCTGTTAATTCCAGACAGGATCTCATTCAGTTTAAAATTATACACAGACTCCATTATACCAAGACAAAATTACATAACTTTTCCCTGATAGCTCTCCCTTCTGTGATGAGTGCAGGACGGGCTTAGCCACTCTTCTACATGGTAATGCTCTGTGTTCTGAATTGATCCCATTCTGAGGTAAAATATGGAAAACTCTGTCTAAAATTTGACATTGTGAATTAGTTTTCGACCCACTTTTGCTCATATTCAGCATTTCAGACAAGACTAGATCACTCCAGGACTCTCAAAAACAACTGCTATATTTCAGCCTTATTGTGGCAAAGAAGCCGGTGCTAAGATTTTGGAAATCAACAGAATCCCCGTCATTTACATCTCAGCTGGAAGCTTGAACTAAATTAGCCCATTTAAAAGGATCAGACTTCCTACATCAAAGAAATTGAAAAAATTTGACAAGATTTGGTCTCTTGATGTTAAAAAGCGTAGCGGCAGCGGAGAGGGAAAAAAAACTTCACCTGATGGGAGTGAAGAAAAAAAACCTTGAGAGAACCAGACTCAGTTGGGCACGACCATTTTAATTTCTCCGCTGGCCAAAAGTCTTGTGCAGAGCTTCAGTCACCGCGGTGGAGGCTGGAAGATGGCCTCAGCGAAGACTCGTCTGTCCCTGGAGCGTCGCTGGAATCAGACTCATGTTCTCCACTCCCCACGACCATCAGCGCAGCAGCAGCTCAGGATATGGCCTGGTCCCGGATATGGAATCCTTGGGATCATCTCGTCGCTGGTCTTGGATCCAATCAGTGACTCTGCATAATCTGAGGACCTCGGGATGAGTATCCCCAGGTGAAAATAGAGAATAAAGAGAATAATTAGCGTAGCTGCTGTTCATACACTGTAAAAAAAAAAACTAATTTTACAGAAAATATCCTTAAATTTTTTACAGTAATTTTTTGTCATTTCACATTATATTCAAAACTTAGTAAAATGACAACCAATCTCTCTAAATTAACCGTTTGACTTTTATTTTAGGTACTTTATTATTAAAGACAAATTACTGACATTTGTGTTTTTTATACAGGGAAATTACAGTATTATTTATACAGTATTTTTTCTGTTATTTTAAATTATATTCAAAAGTTCGTAAAAATTACAAACAATATCTGTAAATTAACGGCTTGAATGTTATTTCATGTACTATATAATTGATGACAAATTACAGCAATTTGTCTGTTTTTTACAATGACGTATTTGTTTACAGTGTTTTTTCCTGTTTTTTAAGTACATTCAAAATTACGTAAAATTAAAGTAATAAATTGTAATTACTTGCTCTGTAAAAAAATAAAAATAAATCATAAAAAAGGTCAAATGACTGGCAGCTATGGCTGCCAAACAAAAACCATAAAATTAATGTAAAATATCTTTGTTGAAAAAAAGTTTTTTTTTTTTTTTTTTTTTTTACAGTGTAGTGTATATAAACAAGATGCAGAAGCCTGTGTGGAACCCGCTAGGTGATGCATTGAGTGTATGCTTTACTAAACAGATAGTTCTTTAATCTAGTGTTGAACTGGGAGAGTGTGTCTGAGCCTCGGACGTTATCAGGAAGGCTATTCCAGAGTGTAGGAGCCATGAAAGAGAAGGCTCGACCTCCTTTACTTGATTTTGCTATTCTAGGTACTACCAGAAGCCCTGAATTTTGAGATCTTAAAGAGCGAGTTGGATTGTAGCGAGACAGAAGGTTGGTTAGATAAACAGGAGCTAGATTATTTAGAGCTTTATAGGTGAGAAGTAATATTTTAAATTCAATACGAAATTTAACAGGCAGCCAGTGTAAGGAGGATAAAATTGGGGTGATATGATCATATTTTCTAGACCTGGTCAGAACTCTGGCTGCTGCATTTTGCACTAATTGAAGTTTGTTAATAGAGGATGCTGGGCAGCCAGCAAATAGAGCATTACAGTAATCCAGTCTCGAAGTCATAAAAGCATGGACTAGCTTTTCTGCATCTGAGATGGATAGCATATTTCGTAATTTAGCGATATTTCTCAGATGAAAGAAGGCAGTTTTGGTAACATGGGATATATGGTTTTCAAAAGTTAGATTGCTGTCTAATATGACACCCAGATCTTTTATAGTAGCGCTAACGCTAACTCTGTATCCCTCTAATTGTAGATTGAGTTGCGAGATCTGCTGTGTGCAAGATTTAGGCCCAATAAGTAATAATTCTGTTTTGTCGGAGTTTAAGAGAAGGAAATTGTTGGTCATCCAGTCTTTAACATCTCTAATACACTCAGTTAGTTTAGACAGTTCAGACGTCTCGTCAGGTTTAGTTGAAATATATAATTGAGTATCATCTGCATAGCAGTGAAAGCTGATCCCATGTCTTCTAATAATGTCTCCCAGAGGTAGCATGTAAATTGTAAACAGTAAAGGGCCTAAAACTGATCCTTGAGGCACCCCATACTTTACTGGGCTGACTGGTGAAGGCTGTCCATTAATATTCACACACTGGTAACGGTCAGTTAAGAATGACTTAAACCATTGTAGAGCCTGTCCCTGGACACCTGTAGACTTTAAGTGATTTATGAGGATATTGTGGTCTATGGTGTCAAATGCCGCACTAAGATCGAGTAAAACTAATAGCGAGACGCACCCTCGGTCAGCAGCTAAGAGTAAATCGTTGGTTATTTTCACTAAGGCGGTTTCTGTACTGTGGTGAGCCCTGAAACCTGACTGAAACACTTCAAAAATATTGTTCGTCTGCAGAAAAGAGCATAATTGAGTGGAAACAACTTTTTCTAGTATTTTGGACATAAATGGAAGATTTGAAATAGGCCTATAGTTAGCTCAGTTGTTGGTGTCTAGTTGCGGTTTCTTAATAATAGGCTTAATAACAGCTAGCTTGTAAGAGTTTGGAACATGGCCTATAGATAAAGAAGAGTTGATAATGTTAAAGGTTCACGAATCAACAGAACACATGTTTTGAGCTGTTGACAGTCAGATATGTGTCCCACGCTGATAAAAACACTATTAGGACACATATATTACACTAAAATGTGAAAATTGGTTGTTTTTGCGTTATTTCGAGCAAATTCGTACTTCCGGTTTGAAACAAATTTTTGAAGCTGCATCACGGCCATGAGATCTTGGCGTGTATTTCAGCGTGTAGACTGGACGTCTGTACCTGG